GAGAGAGAGAAGAGAGAGAGAGAGAGAGAGAGAGAGATGAGAGAAGAGAGAGAGAGGAGAGAGGAGAGGTAGGAGAGAGAAGAGGAGAGAGAGAGAAGAGAGAGTGAGAGGAGGAAGGAGAGAGAGAAGAGAGAGAGAGAGAGAGGAGAGAGAGAGAGATAGGAAAGACGAGAGAGAGAGAGAGAGAGAGAGAGAGAGAGAGAGAGGAAGAGAGGAGAGAGAGAGAAGAGAGAGAGAGAGGAGAGAGAGAGAGAGAAGAGAGAGAGAGAAGAGAGAGAAGAGAGAGAGAGAGAGAGAGGAGAGAAGAGAGAGAGAGAGAGAAGAGGAGAGAGGATAAGAGAGTAGGAGAGAGAGAGAGAGAGAGAGAAGAGAGAGAGAGAGAGAGGAGAGAGACGCGTGCGTACGTGCGTGTGTTGCTCGCCTGTAATTCTGTGACTGGTGCCGTTATCGGCCGGACTGTGTCAAGCGATTCGTGATCGGTACATTAGTCCACGATGTGTACTTGGTTTGACGCGTACGTCCGATCTGGTTGCTGAGATCCAACATCAGTTGATAAAATGCCCAAAAACGGACGGATTTTAGCTGCGGCGTGTAACTGACCGGAAACATCAAGTGACACTGTCGTCAGTACAACTGCCGGGTATCCCCTCTGTCGGAGGATGTTGATCTCGTGTCCGGCGGCGTGCGGCAGTCCATGTCTTGCCCCGTTTTTACCTGTGTTATGCAGGTTTTTTTGCCATTTGTTTCGACAGAGTTTGCGTCTGTCACATCGATCAAATGTTAAAACACGCTGTTCGCATTGCCATATTGCAGGCGAAGCATCTATCTCTCACTGCTTGTCTCCGCCGGCACTGGCCATACCGGCTTCAAAGCTGGCATGACCCCTGTCATATCACCCTCTCCGTCCATGTCACTGTACTGTCACTGCGCCTGGCTTCGCTCTGTGCATCTCTGGCCGGCCCATCTTCAACGTATGTCGAAGGGGATGACATGGAGCTCATGTCAATAAGCAATACATGAAATACTTTGCCACGTGTTTGAGATGACCTCGTGCAAGAAGTGATCAAGAGTTGATGACCTAGTGCAAGAAGTGATCAACAGCTGATGTCGCCGTGCAAGAAGTGATCAACAGCTGAGTGCGTGACGTCCGGTGTGGGGTTTGTTCGGGCGCCGTTTCTGTTTTGGTTTTAATCGGAATATCCAGTTGCGTGGCGTGCACGTAGTCCTGTGTATGATAATATTTTTGTAGTGGCGAGCTATGCCTAGCAGTAGGGTTGATGGAAACTGGCAGCTTCCAGTCCACATTCGCCGACCTTGGATTGGGAGCGATAGTCCTCGTGTTCTCGTGTCCTCTCTTCTAGTGTCTTCTAGTTCTCTAGTCCTCGGACGTCCTCGTGTTCTTGCTCGGTACACTTCACGGACTCTTGCTGGCAGTGAGCGGTCCGAACATGACTGTCACAAGCGGCGGAACACGAAACCCATGCTGGCGTAACACGAAACCCATGCTGGCGTAACACGGAACCCGTGCTGGCGTAACACGGAACCCATGCTGGCGTAACACGGAACCCGCGCTGGCGTAACAAGGAAACCATGCCGGTATGACTCGGAACCGATGCTGGCGCAACAGTGACGGCGTCGCAGGCTGCGCGACGTCTGTGTGTCCGCTCCACAGCACGTTACGGGCTCTGGCGTCCCCACTCTCGACCTCAGAGGCTGGCGACCGACACCGTGCTAATCCAGGAGTGGAACCGTCACGACCCGGGGCGACGGGCATTGCTGCCGAGCGGGCACAGCCCCGCTTGGGACGTTTTTCCGAAAGACTGCTCAAGGACCATGTCAGGCATGTCAATCAAGTATGTTAAGTATCGATCGACAACATATCGGCCGCAAAATATCGATTCTGCAAACTATCGGCGCGCGAACTATGGACTACGTAAAATATTCTCATAGAATATAGGCACTGTAACATATTGGCACGACACATTTTGCTATGTCAAAGACCGACACCACGAATCACTGGGTTTAATTGACTGATGCACGGGATACGTCGGGCAAAAGACGGTCGGTGTTGGTGTCTCAGGCTGCTGTGTGCCGGTCTTCGGGCTGTTTTGCATTGTTGTTTGAGGCTGCTGTGTGTCGGTGTTTCAGACTGACGTGTGTCGGTGTTTCAGACTGTTGTGTGTCGGTGTTTCAGGCTGCTGTGCGTCGGTGAGTCAGGCTGGTGTGTGTCGGTGTTCCAGGCTGTTGTGTGTCGGTGCTTCGGGCTGCGGTGCGCCGGTGTTTTAGGCTGCGGTGTGTCGGTGTTTCAGGCTGGTGTGTGTCAGTGCTTCAGGCTACGGTGCGTCGGTGTTTCAGGCTGCTGTGCGTCGTATTTTAAGCTGTCGCGTGTCGGTGTTTCAGGCTGTTGTGTGTCAGTGCATCAGGCTGCGGTGCGTCGGCGCTCCAGGCTATTGTGTGTCAGCGCTTCAGGCTGCGATGCGTCGGTGTCTGAGCGCTCGGCCTGACATCTGCCGGCGGCCGTGTTTCAGATGCGCACGCCCCACCGGCTGATCCTGAGCGGCTCCCCCCTGCAGAACAACCTGCGCGAGCTGTGGTCCCTGTTCGACTTCGTCTTCCCCGGGAAGCTGGGCACGCTGCCCGTGTTCATGGCTCAGTTCGCTGTCCCCATCACTCAGGGCGGCTATACCAACGCCTCGGACACCCAGGTCAGATGGCTAGTCAGCGAACGCGGCTCATGCGTCCGTCGCGTAAGCTTTAACACTGGACGCTTTGGAGGGTGTTCCTGTCTGCTCGCTGGCGGCTGTGAACCGCTGCATACTGGGTCATGGGTATAGCATACATTTATGGCATACGGCTCTGGACATTATGTCAATATTTTATGTATGCACCGTATCGGCTTTTTATTACCGAACTTTGGACTCGTAGTGCATTACCACAAAATCATATGATTTATGTGTCATTTCTAATGCGCAGATCATTTTGAGCTCTGAGTTGTCATGGAAAATGAATCGGATATTAATTCGCTACTCAGAAAAACCGTTGTAACCCCGCCCCACGGGAATGTTGCATTTACAGGCTACCAGGGGAGGGGGCGCAGAGCATCCCCCGTGGTCCTAAAAACCGAGCAGGGTATAGCCAGGGCTAAAACCTGCCTCCAGCAGGTGCTGACTAGCGGATATCGACACATGTGACCTCTGTTAAGTCATGTCAGATTAGGGGGATTGAGTATTGTTGCATTGGCTCGTATGGCTCTGTCAAGAACGAAACAAGCCACATCATTGGGGAAAACACCGTTAGAAATATTCCAAAACTGCGGGATGTGTACTGCGAGCGATTATGTCGAGCGACGTTCAAAGAGCCAAATCTGACCACAGTGATCAAAGTTTGGCCTTAATCTTTGATAATCTGATCGTGCTAAAGACACCAGAGCGATAGTCATGCATGTGCAGAGTGGCCTAGCAATCCATGGGTTTTCTTTGGATCGTTTTCTGCGACTAATAAGCATTATTTGTCACCGTTGAGCAAAATATCGCCGGGGTAAACGTGCAAAAGACTTCGTAGGGTATGAACATTCAAGGCCAGAAATGTCCCATTTTCACAAGTGTTCATATTCTGCTAATCCCGCTACCCCGAATTTCAGCAACGCGTTCAAAAAGGTTCGGTGTTTATTTCGGATACAACGGTGGGGGGCTTGGGCTTCTTGGGCGCGTTCGTGCGCGCCTGTATGTATGTTTTGGTGCGTGTATGCACTGCGCGTGGATGCGTATATTTATATGCGTGTGCCAACAGGTGGCTACGGTGTATTGGTGCCTCCAAGTGCTTCGGGACGCTGGCGAGCGTCTGAAGTGTGCGTGTGTGTGTGTCGCCAGGTGTCTGAGTGTCAGTGTCTGAAGTGTGTGTGAGTGTCGCCAGGTGTCAGGTGTGTGTCGCGAGTGTCTGGAGTGTGCGTGTGTGTGTGTCGCCAGGTGTCTGAGTGTGAGTGTCTGAAGTGTGTGTGAGTGTCGCCAGGTGTCAGGTGTGTGTCGCGAGTGTCTGGAGTGTGCGTGTGTGTGTGTCGCCAGGTGTATGAGTGTGAGTGTCTGAAGTGTGTGTGTGTGTCGCCAGGTGTCTGAGTGTGAGTGTCTGAAGTGTGTGTGTGTGTCGCCAGGTGTCTGAGTGTGAGTGTCTGAAGTGTGTGTGTGTGTCGCCAGGTGTCTGAGTGTGAGTGTCTGAAGTGTGTGTGTGAGTGTCACCAGGTGTCAGGTGTGTGTCGCGAGTGTCTGAAGTGTGTGTGTGTGTGTGTCGCCAGGTGTCTGAGTGTGAGTGTCTGAAGTGTGTGTGTGTGTCGCCAGGTGTCTGAGTGTGAGTGTCTGAAGTGTGTGTGTGTGTCGCCAGGTGTCTGAGCGTGAGTGTCTGAAGTGTGTGTGTGTGTCGCCAGGTGTCTGAGTGTGAGTGTCTGAAGTGTGTGTGTGTGTCGCCAGGTGTCTGAGTGTGAGTGTCTGAAGTGTGTGTGAGTGTCGCCAGGTGGCTGAGTGTGAGTGTCTGAAGTGTGTGTGTGTGTCGCCAGGTGGCTGAGTGTGAGTGTCTGAAGTGTATGTGAGTGTCGCCAGGTGTCTGAGTGTGAGTGTCTGAAGTGTGTGTGAGTGTCGCCAGGTGTCTGAGTGTGAGTGTCTGAAGTGTGTGTGTGTCGCCAGGTGTCAGGTGTGTGTCGGGAGTGTCTGAAGTGTGTGTGAGTGTCGCCAGGTGTCAGGTGTGTGTCGCGAGTGTCTGAAGTGTGTGTGTGTGTGTGTGTGTGTCGCCAGGTGTCAGGTGTGTGTCGGGAGTGTCTGAAGTGTGTGTGAGTGTCGCCAGGTGTCAGGTGTGTGTCGCGAGTGTCTGAAGTGTGTGTGTGTGTGTGTCGCCAGGTGTCAGGTGTCTGAGTGTCAGTGTCTGAAGTGTGTGTGAGTGTCTGAAGTGTGTGTGTGTGTGTGTCGCCAGGTGTCAGGTGTCTGAGTGTCAGTGTCTGAAGTGTGTGTGAGTGTCTGAAGTGTGTGAGTGTCTGAAGTGTGTGTGAGTGTCTGAAGTGTGTGTGAGTGTCTGAAGTGTGTGTGAGTGTCTGAAGTGTGTGTGAGTGTCTGAAGTGTGTGTGAGTGTCGCCAGGTGGTGACGGCGTTCCGGTGCGCCCAAGTGTTGCGGGACACGATCGCTCCCTACCTACTGCGGCGGCTGAAGGCAGATGTCCAGCAGACACTGCAGCTGCCAACTAAAAACGAACAGGTGAGGAGGCAGTGCCCACGCGGCGGCGGGGTCGGCGGGTGGCGCCCGACACCAGCGGCGTGCGGTCACCACAGCGGCGGACACCGGCGGTGTGTGGTCACCACAGTGGCCGACACCAGCGGCGTGAGGTCACCACAGTGGCGGATACCAGCGGCGTGCGGTCACCACAGCGGCCGACACCAGCGGCGTGAGGTCACCACAGCGGCGGACACCAGCGGCGTGAGGTCACCACAGCGGCGGACACCAGCGGCGTGCGATCATCACAGCGTCCGACACCAGCGGCATGCGGTCACCACAGCGGCTGACACCAGCGGCGTATGGTCACCACAGTGGCCGACACCACAGCTACCGACACCAGCGGCGTGCGGTCACCACGGCTACCGACACCAGCGGCGTGCGGTCACCACAGCGGCCGACACCAGTGGCGCGCGGTCACCACAGCGTCCGACACCAGCGGCATGCGGTCACCACAGCGGCCGACACCAGCGGCGTATGGTCACCACAGTGGCCGACACCACAGCTACCGACACCAGCGGCGTGCGGTCACCACAGCGGCCGACACCAGTGGCGCGCGGTCACCACAGCGCCCGACACCAGCGGCGTGCGGTCACCACAGCGGCCGACACCAGCGCATCGACCCTGTCGTATTGCACACGCGCGCCGCCTGCAAGATATTGCTATCCCCATTAAGATGTTTTTGTTATAGACGGTAGTAGCGCTGGATAGTTTATGATGCACGGCTGGGTGGAAGCTGCTCTTCATTCAGCTGACCAGGCCGGGGTCCGTCGCTCGTTGGTCCAGGGTTGAGACTGGGCTACGAAATAAAAACTAGTGATAAGCCTGATAACTGAAGAGCCCAGCGATGTCCTGACTAACTTAAGGCAGGATTGGGCCCTCCAGAAGTCGTCTGGGACTCAAGGGGAGGCAGAAGTGGTGCACGTTTCTGGTTCACGGTGTGTCTTGGTTTTGCCAGCAGTTTCTCGTTTGTCATAGCGTTGATTTTTGGCAGCCAAGCATTTAGCGGCGGTAGTTCCATTATCACGGTGTTGCAGTGCACTGTGCACGACCGAAGGCAAGCTACAAATTCAGCAATATTACAGTCCTCGTTATTTTGACCTTTATGGAGCTATAATTGGCTGTTCATTCGAGTAAAAAAGAAAGAATAACCGTATTTGCGTTTGATGATGTGCTCAAAAGTTTTCAACAGTTTTTGACTTTTTAAAGAAGCTGGCATATATTGCACAGCGTGAGAAGTGGTTGGTGGCTTTTGCAGTTGCATCCGAGTTCAGTGGTTAAAACAGATTTGTCGAACCCACCATGCAAAATGTGTAGACATTAGCCTCTTCAGTTCACGCGCTTAATTCTCCCTGTCTCCAGGATAATGCCGAGTCCCGTCAACTGTGTAGATCAGTCTCGAGCTTGGGACGCTAGCCGTGCCATTATTGTTTCTGTCGGTGTTGCGTGAAGCGGGGCGCACGACCAGGTCATTTAATTCAGAAATCAATCACCGTGGACAATGTTTATGTATGTACGCTCTGTAAGTACGATATACGTATGGACAGGGACGCGGCTAGGCTACTGGGGTTTGTTTTGTCGTGTCTGCGTCAGGTATACCATCGAATCGGTATAACACTTTATAGGAATAGATCTGGCACACATACGTCTTTTCAAACAGGTTTTTGAATCCTTGCAAAGCATTTGTTGCCGAAAATCGTTCATAAGAGCTGGATCGTTGGGAAGTAAAAGCTTAAAAGATTGTTAAAAGTTCTGAAAAGTACCCCACCGTAATTATCCATGAAAACGGCTAATAGCTCGTGTATTACGTTCAACGCCTTTAAGGTCGATCAGTAGCTTTTCTGGTAAAGCGAAGTCAGTGCAGCGGGGTGAAATCCGACTCACCAATCTGTTTTTTCCTAAACCACATATGAAGTCAAAAACAGACAGCGGGTTTCTCATGCACTTTTTGTGCATTAGCCAGCGAACAGTATAAAATGGACTCAGAATAAACCGACACCGGCGGCCTACTCTTGTACTTGCGGTTGACAAAGTACAAGTGCTTTCTCATCTTGGTCTTTTACCCACCACGCCTATGCACGGGTGGATGCGGCGTGACCGGGGGCCCTCGCATTGGAGGGATAAGCTGTTTTGTTGCGTTGTTTGCAAACACATGTGCATTTATGCATGCTTGTGTATGTACGCAGCCTGGGACATTCCAGATTTCAGATTGATCGCATTGCTTGTTCACCTTCTGTGTGAGTTTAAGATTGCACGACCCCGGGTGGCTTGGAATGACGGGTGGTGCACAGCCTTATTCACATGTTCACGTGCATATGTATGTATGTGCATAAGCGTTAGCGTGGAGCGCGCGTGCTCGCGCGCGTTACAGGGCGCTTGTGTACGCTGACCACGCACCCCAGCTCAGTTGTCGGCGCGTTCTCCAGGTGCTGTTTTGTCGTCTGACCGACGCCCAACGGACCATGTACCAGGAGTACCTGCAGTCGGACAGCCTGCGGCGCATCCTCCAGGGCAGGCTGAAGGTTTGTTATGATGCGCCCACCCGGGGTCGGCGTCTGGAACGGCCGACGGCGCGCGCCGGTCGCTCGCCGCCCGCCGCCCAGTCGGCGCGGGTCAGCAGGGCGATCGCTGACGCCGCCGTCAGAGCGGCGGCCTGTGTGTGCCGCGGGCCGGCGTGACCGCTGGGTCGTCACTGGCGATCGCTGACACCGCCGTCAAAGCGGCGGCCTGTGTGTGCCGCGGGCCGGCGTGACCGCTGGGTCGTCACTGGCGGCCGCTGACACCACCGTTAGAGCGGCGGCCTGTGTGTGCCGCGGGCCGGCGTGACCGCTGGGCCGTCGTTGGCCGCGGGTCGAGTCGGAGCGGTATCCGCAGATATGCTACAGTTCACTGTTTATGTGAGTTGAGTCGACCGGCCTGACAGACGAGACCGTCCAGCCAGGTGCGGGGTAAGGGCCACACCCTCCTACGCTCAGTCACGGTCTCTGCCGGCCAGCTGTAACACCGTCCGAAACTGACCAGTGTGTGGTCATATTGTTCTCTGGCCCCCGTTTTATGTGTTGATCAGAGCGATGTACGGGAACTACTGGACGAAAAGACAACGAAACCAGGCACACGGACTTCACGAACTACATGCTGTGCAATTCATTGCACATGTCCAGCGTTTGCGAGGGGCGAGCTGGCGGATGTGTTGCGGTCCGGCCTGCGCACCGCGTCAGTCCGGTGGCGGCTGTGTGCTGCGGTCCGGCCCGCGCACCGCGTCAGTCCGGTGGCGGCTGTGTGTTGCGGTCCGACCCGCGCGCCGCGTCAGTCCGGTGGCGGCTGTGTGCTGCGGCCCGGCCCGCGCGCCGCGTCAGTCCGGTGGCGGCTGTGTGTTGCGGTCCGGCCCGCGCGCCGCGTCAGTCCGGTGGCGGCTAACCTACCGGCCGCCGCCAGGTGTTCGTCGGCCTGATCGCCATGCGGAAGATCTGCAACCACCCGGACCTGCTGTCGGGTGCGCCTGACCCGGAGCAGGAGCTGGAACAGGGGTCGGAGCCAGAGGCCGGTCGGTACGGCTTCTGGCGCCGCTCCGGCAAGATGGTGGTGCTGTCGGCCCTGCTGCAGATGTGGCGCCGGCAGCAACACAAGGTGCTGCTCTTCACGCAGAGCAGACAGGTCAGTGGAACGCCCCTCTCCTTTCGTCCGTCCGTCCCTTCTTTCCCCCTCCCTCTGTCTCTCCCTCCCTCCCTCTCTCTCTCCCGCCTTCCCTCACTCCCGTAAGTGGGCCGACAGGGCGGTCTAGACGCGGTCGAGGTGTGTGGGGTTACGGTTACGTTTTACGTGTTTGCAACGGCAAAAAGGAAGCGTTTTTGGGGTAAGGACGGACCGAGCAGCTGCGGTGTGGCCAAGAAGGCGAGCGGTGTGGCCCAGCTGCGTCGATCGGTCGCTGCGCCGGTCAGTCGCTGCACCGGTCGGCAACCGCGCCGGTCGGTCGCTGCGCCGGTCGGTCGCTGCACCGGTCGGTCGCTGCACCGGTCGGTCGCCGCGCCGGTCGGTCGCTGCATCGGTCGGTTGCCGCGCCGGTCGGCCGCTGCGCCGCCTCCTCGCAGCCCGCTCCCAGCGTGATGACGGCGCGCCGCCAGATGCTGTGTATTCTGGAGGCGTTCCTGGTGTCGTGTGACTACCCATTCCTGAAGATGGACGGCACGACGACGGTGGGCTCGCGCCAGAAGCTGATTGGCCGCTTCAACAGCGAGCCCGACCTGTTCGTCTTCCTGCTCACCACCCGCGTCGGCGGCCTGGGCGTCAACCTGACCGGTACGACCGTCGCTCACGCTGGCTGCTGCTCGCCACACACCATACCGGACGCCGGAGAGGCGCCGGCGCCCGTGCGAGTCCGGGTTCTGGCGTCTCGGGTCAGAGCCCTCCCTCGTCACATTACAGCCGTACTGGGCCGAGTCGGAGCCCTCCCTTGTCACATTACAGTCGTACTGGGCCGAGTCGGGTCCCTCCTTTGTCACATTACAGCCGTACTGAGCCGAGTCGGGGTCATCCCTTATATTACAGCCGCACTGGGCCGAGTCGGGCCCTCCCTTGTCACATTGCAGCCGTGCTGAGCCGAGTCGGGCCCTCCCTTGTCACATTACAGCCGTACTGAGCCGAGTGGATATTTTGACGGTGCATGGGTCCGAATTTGGGTCCGAAATCAAGATGCTAAAACCTGAATTCCCAGTCCTTAGCCGCGAGCGGGATGACACGTGACAAAAACAGGCTTGTATCAGGCTGCCACGATTAGAGTGTCATCTGTGAAATCGTAACTGTTGATAAAGATACACCTATCCTAACGTTACATACCTCACGTTATCGAGTGACAATAAGTGTTATCGAGTTATAGGGACGTGTCTTCACGAAGTCGCAGTGACCGATGCTTAATCTGACGTGACGTAGTCGTGATCAATACAGCCTGATGACATCCATCGAACAAAACCAGCCGAAACAAACCCAACCTACCCAGCGCAAGAGCGGGCCGGCCGGCGGGCCGCGGCGGTCTCTGGTGCGGCCGCTCTCGTGCCGCAGCCGGGCGGGTGACGTGGCATCCCCTGCTGCCAGGTGCTAACCGAGTGGTGATCTTTGACCCCGACTGGAACCCGTCGACGGACCAGCAGGCGCGGGAGCGGGCCTGGAGGATCGGCCAGCAGCGGCACGTCACCATCTACAGGTGGGCTGGGCGGGTGGCAGGCGGCACGTCACCATCTACAGGTGGGCTGGGCGGGTGGCAGCCAGCAGCGGCACGGCACCATCTACAGGTGGGCTGGGCGGGTGGCAGCCGGCAGCGGTACGTCACCATCTACAGGTGGGCGGGGCGGGTGGCAGCCAGCAGCGGCACGTCACCATCTACAGGTGGGCAGGACGGGTGGCAGCCAGCAGCGGCACGTCACCATCTACAGGTGGGCAGGGCGGGTGGCAGCTAACAGCGGCACGGCACCATCTACAGGTGGGCTGGGCGGGTGGGACGTCACCATCTACAGGTGGGCAGGGCGGGTGGCAGCCAGCAGCGGCACGGCACCATCTACAGGTGGGCAGGGCGGGTGGGACGTCACCATCTACAGGTGGGCTGGGCGGGTGGCAGCCGGCAGCGGCACGTCAACATCTACAGGTGGGCTGGGCGGGTGGGACGTCACCATCTACAGGTGGGCTGGGCGGGTGGCAGCCGGCGGGCGGCACGCTTCTGGGGATCGATGCTCACCACTGCCCGCAGCCTGATACGCTGGAGAAAAGCAAAGCAGCCCTGCTAGTGTAAGTGTAGCGAGTGGTGATAGCTTGCGCCCTACCGGGCGAGTTCTGTGCGCGCCCTGTTCGGTGTGCTGTGTGCCTGCTGGACGCCGTGCCGCGGCCGATGTCAGGCGGAGTTCAGAGGCAGGGGGGGGGGGGGGGGGAGTCGAATCTCCGCTGATGGACGTGGCGCCCCCTGATCAGACACACCACAAACTGGGACCGATTCGTCGTCACCGCATCCAGAAGTCTGTGCTGCGGGAGCATGGCTACCGCGGCACTTCTCCTGATGCTTAGTGCCGACGCACTGGCTCTTTCCTTTGAATGATATAGATTGGTAGAGTGACAGATTGGAAGCCTGCGGCATTTGTCTTCTGTAGTGTAATTCACGCTCTGTATTGTTTATCACTGAGCAGGCTGATTCGCATCGGATCTTAGTCACACAGCGCATGGAGTGAACAAGTATTTGTATCGGCCTCAGGCAGGCTTATCAAACTGTTTGATGACCGACCACCTGGGGTTTAAAGATAACCCCTTTCGAGTTTCGGGAACATCTTCTGAGCCGTGCCAAGTCGGCCTATCCACTGTCCGCACCTGACAGGTCATGACTGTGGCACAGTATAGAGGGACGAACGCCGATGTCGGGTCTGGCCATGGGTTATGGCGTCATTAGTGAAGGCCTAGGCGTCCCTCTTCACCTCTACAATCACTCGTAGTGTTTTTGCCTGTTTTTGAATAGTTTTTTATTTGTATGTCCTTGATTGTTAACCAGGGTCAATCACGCTATTCGAGGTCATAAGGTCATGACCAAAGGTCATGTTAGATGATCTAACGCGTGTGGAACAACATACCCTGTTGCGCACATTTTTGATTTTAAGAGGGTATGGCGGACACATTTTCCAGTCATTGACTTACAATGTGGTGTAATCGGGAAGAGCAGAAACATCTTACCGGATGGGGTGACCTGATCTTGATCTTATCTTGATCCTGGGCCATTGGTACCACCACAGTTTGATTCTAATGATGATATACGTCGCCTCGTTCGGTGCCTGTCGCAAAACCATCTGACCAGGGTTCCGAGTTTCGGTGGAGATGAGGCATCTAGCGTGGTTCGTCACGTGACAGACGTGAACCAAACAACTGCTGGGTGTGAGTGACTTAGACGCGCCACCAGGTTGACGGAATAAAGATGCGTGTCGTATTTACCCGGCACGTGTATTCAAAAAGAAGGTGTCCTGACAAAATAACGCAGAGACGCAGGGTTGGGACACAAGTATGTGCGATTTAGTGTTGAGGCGAAACGTCGGTTCGTTACCGGAGTACGTCTGGTGGGCGTGAACGCGGACAGTGTGAGTCGTGGTCCACTTTTGATACGGTGGACTATGTTTTGTTTTTTCAACCTGGTGACTATTTTGCCGTTCTCGCTAGTGTGCGGCAAGATCTGGAGGAATGGCTTATGGTGCGCGGTTGTTTGCGGTCTGTAGTTATTATGCATGGAAGATGATTTTGCTTAGGATAACTGGACGCGCGGGATGTAATGCTGTTTTCCTGTTTCAGATTGCTGACGGCGGGCACAATTGAGGAGAAGATTTACCATCGGCAGATATTCAAGCAGTTTCTCACTAACCGTGTGCTGAAGGACCCCAAGCAACAGAGGTGAGCGGCGTTTCCCAATGTTCTTAATAGGCGATGCGGCCTCCAGCACTAGTCGCCACGTCGGTGATTCTAATTACATTTTGCACTTCATGGTACATGCTTTTGAGCTTACCGTTTAAGGACTGTTTTGAGCCTCTTGCGAATGGGAGGTATGTGAGAACCCTTTGTCTTTGTGACAACGTGTAATGTTTTGGGCTCGTTATCACGCCCCTCATGCAACCTTTTGGCCCATTAGTTTCATTTTTTGCAGATTAGTCCGAGCCTTTTGACTGGCTGGATTGCCACGATCAGCGCACGGGCTAAGCTGTGTATGTTGTTTGAGACCTGACACCACCACTTGATCGTGAGGTTCCGGGCTAACGGCATAATATTCTGGGGAAAGGAAGAAGAAAAGCTTAACGTGTAACAATGCGCGGCACGGTTCGTCTTGCCCTCTGACGTCACTTGACCTTTAGCGCGACGGCTGCCGTCGATCGCGGCCATCCCAATCAGGGGCAAACAACGGGCGCCTAAAGCGACTCGAAGTCACCCGCTACGGCTGGGAAAATCTGAAACCAGGCGCTCTAACCATCTGAACTCTCGGGACAGACGGACAGCTGACCGCCGATTAAGATATGAGCCCCGCATTTGATGGATTAATATATGAGCCCCGCATTTGATGGATTGAGATATGAGCCCCCCATGTGACGGATTGAGATATGAGCCACTCATTTGATGGATTGAGATATGAGCCCCGCATTTGATGGATACTGAAGCCCCACTGACCCCTTTACGTACCACGCTTAGACGAGTGTCAGAGGTACCCGTGGGGTCTCATTCGGACCACTTCAGAGGCTGGCTTGGGCCAATTAAATTCCGTCGGCACGTAATCGTGGGAAGTTGATGTTATGTCTTTTCGCCCGCCTGTTCGATATATCGGAATAGCCCCATCCGATGGAGTCTAACATAGGTGGAACGGAAGACTAAATGAAGCTAAATGAAGTTTGAACGCGTTTCAGTCTTCGAAATTTTGAGGGGTATGGGATTGCCCCATTGTACTTAGTACATGTTGACGACGCCCGTTGCATTGCAAACTTCATTTAGCTTTACTTAGCCAGACACAGCGGTGTTTTGGCGGGGGCGTCCGGGCTCGGCGCTGATGCCTGCTGTGCCGTGTGCTGTCCTCGCTCAGCGTGTGCTGTCCTCGCCAGGTTTTTCAAGTCCAACGACCTGCATGACTTGTTCACGCTGACTGAAGACCCGTGCGATGGGGCGGACGAGGCCCGGAACGGCGCCGAGGGCGCGAGCCGCACCGAGACGGCGGAGATGTTCGGAGGTAGCCAGGTATGTCCGGGCCGGGCAGGGTGGCTGGGGGGATGTGACTTGGGACGGCGCCGAGGGCGCGAGCCGTGCCGAGACGGCGGAGCTGTTCGAAGACAGCCAGGTAGGGCCCGGGCCGGACAGGGTGGCCGGAGCATGAGCCCGGGATGGCACCGAGGGTCTGGAGTAAAAGGTCTGGAATAACAGACATGTACTCATTCAGTGCTGTGTCGGCGTGAACCGCTTGTTTTATTTGATCTCCGATGTCAAGTGTGTTGCAAACAGAACGCCTGTAACGGCTGTCTTCCTCAAGATTCCCACCAGCCAATCATCGCAGTTTGGCCTTCGACCTTCGCATTGTGATATGGCGTGTTCATCTCAGTAGTAGTGGTTACCCATCGACGCCAGGTGACGAGGTCGTCGCTATGGCTTAAGAGCTGGCGCTGTGGCCACTGCCGCTCAGTGATCGTTCCGACCACTCAGCTTAGTCCTTATCGCTAGCTGAACAGGGTATCGTGGTGTTCTTCTGTGGCTGATAACAACTATTTAGGAGAAATGCAATTGCTACGTGTTAAAGGAAGTGTTTGACACTTGAAGGTATGGAAGCAAGCATCAGATGTGATGAAGTAAGCTCACTTATAGCTATTGGTATACTTTTTAGGTGGGGAAATACTGCGCTAGACAGCACACTTATCTGTTTGGGAAATATGCTCCTCAAGGTGTCATAGTTTGGTTACGTGATCGTGCCTTGCCCAGCATTGATTGAAAGCCAACTGACGGCCGATATATCTGGAAAGCACGCTCACGAACGCCAGATATGAACCCCTTAACAATCATATTTTTCTTGGCCTTGATTGCCGCGCGGCGTGTGGAATGGCAGGATTTAAGTGACGTTGTTCTAACATGAATGCCAAGGTGACTTTGAAATACTCTCCCCAGTATACTTTTTCCAGTTTTCACTGGCGTGTAGTTCAGAAACTAGAGGGACTGAGGTCTTAGGAAGGGCAGGGTTGCAAACAGCATGAAAAGGTGTTTAAGATGGCTATTTCAGTTCAAAACCTTATGTAAATGTGGACCACTCCCTTTAAGTATGAGTGGAAGGAAGTCGCCCGTGCCTGATTGTGAGCGCGGTTGAACCGCGTGTGCTGGCCATCGGTGGTGTGCTGTTCTGGCCGCACCGGTGTGGAGAAGCCTCAGCGGAGAGTGAGGGCCGACCCTGCGGCTAACGGTGTCGCCGTCGGGCGTCTGCAGGTGAGCGCGGCCGCGCTCCGCCGGCGCCGAGAGCGGCAGCGGCAGGCCCGCCGCGAGCAGCAGGCCCAGCAGCAGCGGCGGGCGCTCAGGCGCAAGCGGCGCCTGCTGGAGAAGGCGCGCCACCTCAGCCGACGGCTGTTCGGAGCGGCGGCGTCAGGCAGCCAGACGGGGCCGGCGGCGCCGAACGGCCAGCACCAGGAGACGGACGGCCAGCACCAGGAGGCGGACGGCCAGCACCGGGAGACGGACGGCCAGCACGAGGAGACGGACGATCAGCAGCAGGAGACGGACGATCAGCACCAGGAGACGGACGGTCAGCACCAGGAGGCTGACGGTCAGCACGAGGAGACGAACGGTCAGCATCAGGAGACGGACGGTCAGCACCAGGAGACGGACGGCCAGAACCAGGAGACGGATGGCCAGTGCGGCACAGTTCCGGCGCAGTGCGGCCGGAATGTCACGGCGCTGGTGTCTGAGGCGCGCGGGGCACCTGACGGCCGAGGCGTCGGCGGGCAGGCCGGTCCGCCCCCGGTACCGGCCGGCCCGTCCTCGGTACCGGCCAGTCCGTCTCCGGTACCAGCTGGCCCGCCCTCGGTACCGGCCAGTCCGTCCCCGGTACCGGCCGGCCCGCCCCCGGTACCGGCCGGCCCGCCCCCGGTACCGGCCGGTCCGAGTCAGGACGACGGTAGCAGAGGGACGCGTCGTCGTCGGCGGCGGAGGCGGCGGCCGAGCGAGCTGGATCCGGTCGAGGGTCTGGTCGACTCGGAGATGTACCGGCCGCCACAGACGGCCGACGCCGACCGCTCGCAGGTGAGGACGGGCGCAGCCTCCGGCGCTCAGAGCCTCGGACGAGCGGAGCCACCGCCGACAAGCGTCACGGCTCAGGCGTGCTCATGTCCCGTGCTGTGCTATGACATCGGCTGCGACTCGAGCAGTAATCCCGTACCCCGGATATCTTCCTTTGGTTATCGTGACACCATAGCGGGCAATGTTCTGCGGCTAACAATGGAGCCACGCGGTGTTATTACAACGGCGGCGCATTGTTTGACCCAGGGGTTGCCACAGCTGTTAGCGGCCATGTGGCTGACCGACTGCAGTGGAGTGTAGCGGAGACTCGTTGCCACGAGGCGCTGCCATGTGACGCAGCGACGACACTGGCGTGCTTGGCCCGTTGGCCCGCTGCGTGGTATCTAAAAGCCAACGGCTTGGGGCTAACCGAGATGCAACGTGCGTAGGCAAAAAAAAACTGCTCAACTGAGCGCTTATTCTGGTCTCATGTGACGTCATAATTCTCTTAGTGGAATGCCATCAAAACGTTTGATGTGAGGGTGTTTATGCCCCGTGCCAACTGTGCTTTTTGAGAGCCGAAACGTAAAAGTCAAGCAATGTGGCTTTTTCAATCAGCTCACTTTGACCTTTGTTCAGCTCAGGTCTGCCAATGCCCGGTGGCGGAACTGCGCGGCCTGTTTGGCCGAGAAGATCTGTCTGGGTGCAGCTAATGATGCTGTTTCCGGCAGGAGCCGGCATGGCGTCATCTCCACCATGTGTTTTTCAGTAGTTTGTGACGTCAGCTATTGAGGGAATATCCCCGATCGTGATCTACGACGCTAGTGATGTCATAGTCGAGAGAGGCCGCTGTGACACCGGAGTGGCGCGGCAGCCCGGGGGTCGGCTTCCGCGGCGTGCGGTCCGGACTCGGCTCACCTGCGGCCGGTGATCTCTGGCGGCTGGATGGCTCACGACCGCGCTGAACCGCCTCCAGGATGACTACGTGCTGACCAAGCTGTTGAAGAAGTCGGGCGTGCACTCGGCGCTGCGGCAGGACGTCATAGAGGGCCACGGCACGCCCGACGGCGCCATCCTGGAGGCCGAGGCCAGCCGAGTCAGTGGGCCGAGCTGGGCTCACCCGGCTCTCGTTTGACTGCCGCTTGCGAGGCCGCCTCCCAGCGTGCCACGCGCCACCAAAGCATAAGCAGACGCCGTTATCATTCGGACGTTACGTGTTGTGAGGGTCATGGGGTATATTTTTGTCTTGCCGTGTTTCGTAAAAGCGCCACACCCATCGTATTATGTTGCTTGCGTTATCATCGGCTTTTTGCGGACGCTTGGCATTGGTATTGTTAAGTCGTCCTTTTCAGCGGTACTGTGCCGGAATGTTCGTATAGGGCATTGCGTGCGTGGCTCAAGGAGAGCAGAAGGCCCGCCCGAGGGCGGGTCTGACGGCCGTCAGCAGATCAGGGGCGCAGGAGGGCCGACGGCAGGCTCGCTCAGAGCGCGCTGACACCCCGGGGCCGGGGTCGCCGTCGCTTGGTCGGCCAGCCGGCCGGCGACACTGAACGGGCACTGGTGGCGGCAGGTGGCGCGGGAGGCGGTGGCGGCGCTGCGGGCGAGCCGGCGAGAGGTGCGGGCTGCTGCCGAGCCCGGCGTGCCCACGTGGACCGGCCAGAGCGGCAGGGCCGGCAGGCCCGGCGCCAGGTCAGACGGGGGGGGGGAGAGAGGGAGGGAGGGGGATGCGTGGTGGCAGCGGTGGTGAGCAGGAGGAGAGGAGGAAGGTTTCACTTCCCGCCCGCTTATTCTTCTGGCTGCGCCGCCGTCGGCGTATGAAGTATCGTGTCCTGTGCTGTGTACGGCGGCCATGTTGTAACCGTCCTGATTTGCCTCAAATTTGCATCATTCACACTGCACGCTTGCCGCAACGGTCAAAACACATCCTTGCGTCACGTCTGCTTTACCGCGCCGTGCCCGTCTGCCGCACGGGCTTCACGCACGGTGTCGCCGTTATTACAGAGCTGTTGTCCAACCTCCCTGCTACCGCAGCCTTTTTTCTTTGGGTTCTCAGCGCCGCGAGAAAGCATTTGCAGATGCGTCCGATGCACGTGAGCTGCGTCCATCGGCCGCATTTCATTAGCCGATTGCGTCTCACTCTGCGTGTGGCTTCTGTCGGCAGGCCGCGGTTCGGCCAGAAAAAGAACCCGCTGGTGGTGACTGCCAAGCCAGCCACCCCGCCGCCGGTCAAGAAGGCGGCCCCGTCACTGCCGACGCTGTTCGCGCCTGACCCGGCCGGCGCGCGCCGCGGCCCGACGCGGCCGCCGCCGCCGCCGCCGCCGCCGGCCGCCCTGTTCACTGGGCCGGCGGCGCTGGGCGCCGGCGGGACGGCGCGCGCCGCCGACCAGACGCCGCTCGGCTCGGCCGAGCTGCTGGCGCGCATCCGACGCCGCGCACAAGGCGACAGCGGCGCGTCGGCGGCGGACGTGGCGGGCCAACATGCCGACCTGCTCGCCGACATTCGCAACTTCGTCGCGTTCCAAACGGAGACGAACGGCCGGGCCAGCACGCGCCAGCTGCTGCGCGAGTTTGCCGGCCGGCTGCCGGCCGAGCAGACGCCGCTGTTTCGGGCCCTGCTGGCCGAGATATGCGTGTTTGATCGGGGCGCTGACGGCACTGGCTGGTGGCTGCTGCGCGACGAGCTGCGCTGACGGCACCGGCTGGTGGCTGCCGCGCGACGAGCTACGCTGATGGCACTGACTGGTGGCTGCTGCGCGACGAGCTGCGCTGACGACTGTCAGTAGAGTCCGGCTGGGACGGCTGTCGACAGAGTCCGGCTGGGGTGGCTGTTGGCAGAGTCCGGCTGGGACGGCTGTCAGCAGAGTCCGGCTGGGGTGGCTGTCGGCAGAGTCCGGCTGGGACGGCTGTAAGCAGAGTCCGGCTGGGACGGCTGTCGGCAGAGTCCGGCTGGGACGGCTGTCGGCAGAGTCCGGCTGGGGCGGCTGTCGGCAGAGTCCGGCTGGGACGGCTGTAAGCAGAGTCCGGCTGGGACGGCTGTCGGCAGCCATCCCAGTGATCCGCCGACCGGCCGCCCGCCGCGTTAGGTGCGGAGGAGGGCAGCTGACGGCCGAATGCAACTTCCCGCTCCCGATGGTAATCTGTCTGATCTTTGTTGTTGATTTGTCATGTGATTATGACAAATATGTTGTAATCATGTTATGGTGACCGTTTTTCGAACAATATTGTACGATTCGTTATAATGTCATGATGCTCCCATGTCCTCGTCTAATAGAATGTGGACCGTCCTGACTTTAACTTTCTACGTGTTGAGTTCAGGCTGTAAGCGCCCGTCACTGAGTGCATTTAGCCGTGTTGTCTGATTCGTGCCCGGCTATCCCCATGTCGGAAGCAGCGGTACGCGAGACGCGCCCGAGATCACGTGATGCACTAGTCCCGCCCCGCGGGTAGCGGCGGGACCCGGCGGCGGGTGCCCGGTCCCGCCTTGGTCGGCGTGCACACGGCGGGGCCATGTGAGCGTATTGAGCAGACATCCGCCGCCGGCCGGACCTGATGTTCAGCGGCCGCTTCATGCCCCCGAATCAGTGTTACCAAAGCGCACAGGCCTGCGGTCTACGCCCGGTTATGGATATTTTTAAACGCTGTTGTATTTTCCTCTTGGGCGCCAAGTGCCCACCGCAGTCGGCGCGCCTGTAAACTCCAATAAACAAGTATTTTCCTCTGCACTCTGAGGACGACCAGCCGCCCACCAATGGGACGGTTCCTCTGCACTCTGAGGACGACCAGCCGCCCACCAATGGGACGGTTCCTCTGCACTCTGAGGACGACCAGCCGCCCACCAATGGGACGGTTCCTCTGCACTCTGAGGACGACCAGCCGCCCACCAATGGGACGGTTCCTCTGCACTCTGAGGACGACCAGCCGCCCACCAATGGGACGGTTCCTCTGCACTCTGAGGACGACCAGCCGCCCACCAATGGGACGGTTCCTCTGCACTCTGAGGACGACCAGCCGCCCACCAATGGGACGGTTCCTCTGCACTCTGAGGACGACCAGCCGCCCACCAATGGGACGGTTCCTCTGCACTCTGAGGACGACCAGCCGCCCACCAATGGGACGGCATGTGAGTATCATGTCAACGCTTGGAACAAATAGGTGCCGACAGTTGGGCCGGATGGGAGTGTCAACCGACCGCTCTTAACCAGCGTTATCAACCACTACGGCGTGTGAGTGTCATGTCAACGCTTGGAATAAATAGGCGTCGACAGCTGGGCCGGATGGGAGTGTTAACCGTCCTTTCTTAACCAGTGTTATCAACCACTACGGCCCCACGTGCGGCGCACCAGCATGACAGAGTTAAAAAACTGACGTCTATTGACGCATAATGTTTGGGCGCGAAATATGACGTCCCAACATTGGTAAAATTAGGTGCTGATGAGCGCAGATTTTCAATAGGTGCGGACTCCAGGCCCCGATTGGTGACACGCTGCCAGTATTGTGCTTCATATGAGAGCGCGCCGGCCGGCGGCCTCTCGATGCGGCGTCGCACGGGGGTCGGTCCAACGCGTCCAGCAACTCAGCAGCAGCAGGCGGACCCGCTTCTTGGGTGTTGCTCGATGGCCCAGCGCTAAATGGATCAGACGGGCAAGCCCCGCCCTCGGCACGTGGTCGCTATTAGTTGTTAAACGCGACCGTAGTTTCTTTTCCAAGTAGTCAGCAGCCTCCCGCTGTTGAATAAGACGTCGTGTCACGCTGACGAGTTCAACAAATAGGTGGTGGTGCCCTGACCTCTTGTATGGACGTCGTTCCACGGCCATCAGCTAGTGCTACCAAACACACAGCTCCTCTTCTCGCTCGATGCTAAATATCTTGAAGGCCCACCGTGCTATCGCGCAAGGGGTTTCCACTAGATTTTTGGGAGTTTTCACTAGATTTGTGACACCGCTACACAATTCCTGATAATACGTGCTATCACCGCAGATTTTTCAACAGATGCTGATTGCAGGTGTAACATGACGACACGCCTGTAACGAGATTGGGCTCCATTCCCCGGAACCTGATCCCGAGCGGCCTCGGTGTAAATTACCCCGAGGAGCCGTTCTTCGCGGCTTACACAGATCGCCCCGAATGGGAAGCCCCCCCCCCCCCCCTCAAACGTACGCGCGCATCATCCAGCTATAGCGCCTGGGCTGGGGCGCCTGATTAGGCTTTCCCTGACGCTCTATCATGAAAGAGCCGGGTGTCGCCCAACGACCTTAGTTCGAGGGCCGTGCCAGCAACCTGCCTCGGCGGCCGGCGCCGCCGACCGCTGAGGCAGCGCCGCCTGGCGGCCAGACTCTGAATCGACTGATCATTGAAACCGTGTCTAGCCGGGGCCGCGCCATACATGAGATGGCGCCCGCCTACCGCCCTGTCCGACATATGCCAACCGCCGAGCGACTGCGAGCACCGCACCGCAGGAGATAAGAAGTACTTTGAATATTTAGGTGCAATTTGAGATAATCTTGCTGCTAACTTGACGATCATGTCTGGATTGAACGAGCCTAATGCGTTCTTTCTCAATAAAGGGTTTTGTGGCACCATCCAGGAATCGCACCATACATTGAAGCGGGTGCGGATCTTGGATTTTGTGAAGGGAAACCACGAAACATTGTGGGGCACCTAGAGGTGGTTATTGGTCGCTGAACACAGAACGCAGTCGCACACGCAGAACACCACCATTTCCATGCCATTAAATTTTAAGATTCATCTTGTATTTTTCTTACGGGGGCCAACCATACTGTGTGTAGCCCTAGATAGCTAGGTCTACTACGTATGCACGCACATTTAGCTTATTCTTTTCTCCGTATAATGTCAGATCCGATCATTTTGGCGCTAAACATTTCGGAAAAAGCATGGCAAAATGAACTGAAGTTGGCTACCAAATGCCACCAAAACCAAGTAAAACTTTATTCCTAGCTTATCTATGGCCGGCCGGCTGGTCGATTAGGTCAGCTATGGTTGATGACTAATGCAGTTTTTGCTTTGTCTGTTAACAGGGAGAACAAAATATCCTGGCATTCAAAATGTCCTAAGAACGTGATGCACAAGCGTAAGTGTCATACGTTCAATAACCAGCGGAAATGACGCGCGACTTTGGCAGTGCATAGATTATGTCGTCATTCGCTCGTAGAAGTTCATCAGCGCATCTCCGATAGCTGTTCTTAAGGTAAGGCGCCAAGAGAAGTCGTCATCCTGTAGTCTCGGACTCGCGTACATGAAGTAGTTTAGCTAGGCCGTACACACGGGCAGGCGAAAGCCCTGGCGCTCGCAAGCGCACGTGAGCTTTGGGCAAGGGAGCAAGATCTTTCTTACTTCATCCGAAGAGTTCACGACCAACTTCGAGGGCCCCGGAGCGAACAAGAATGTCCCGGCCAATTAAGATGTGTGCCCCCGTCAGCGACCAATAACATGGGAAAGCCCAAGGCCAATACGGATGGAACCTGCGCGAGCGGGAGTGCCCCGGAAAGCTATCACGTGGGACCCCGGCCACAGCGTAGGGCCCTCTGAGCAAAGGGAAACTACCCAAGACCATGAAACACGGGCACATGAAATAATGCCCGTGCGATCAAGAGTGCCAAGTCAGGTTGACAGAAAGGGCCCAGACAGAAGTGAACGGTCCTCCGCAAATGAGATCAAGAGGAAACAGCCGTAGATCAACGTAGAGGGCAACTGGACATCGAGTGCCTCGTTGCATTACCTTATGTGGACCCCAGCAATAGCGCAGGACCCTCCGAGCAAGTGGAACAAACCGAAGCCAATATGAAGGGCCTCTGAGTAGCCGAGTGCACCCCGACATATGGGATCCCAGCGAGAGCGTACAGAGCCTTTCGAGCGGATGGAAAGAGTCCGAAGACATCCCCTGATTGATCAAGAGTGCCCCGGCATGTTAGTAGGTAGTGTCCCAACAGCAGCGCAGGGTCGCCCGGGAAAATGCGAAGAGATCAAGGGCAGCGTGGAAGGCTCCTTAGCGATCGGATTGACTCGGCAAAAGGCCATATAAAGAACCCCAGCAAAAGCGCCTCTGGACAACGTAATAAGCCTCAAAACATCCACCGAATACCATCCTATCGATCTGCGAAAAATTATTTTTGTCTGCTCACGTAGCCTTCGCTTTTGTGTGCGACTGCTGCTGGCCGTCTAGAGGCCCCAAAGCATCCAATATTGTTGCGTTTTGTGTCAGAAAACTGCGTTCGTTTGGCCGGTATGGCGCCGCGTTGGAGCTTATGGGCCCCTCCGAAGCACAAAAGGGTGGGCATATTCCTGTGACCCCCCCCCCCCCTCAGTATCCGCCACTGGCCCGAACAGCTCAACAGATGGGCTCTGATGAGAGCGTGGAACCCCCCCCCCCCCCCATTCAAATAAGAGGTACTCAAGACACGATGTAGAGGGTCCCCGAACGATCGAGTGCGCCCGAGCGGGTCAACAGAGGTAAGATCGTAGGGCCCTCCACTCAAAGAAAGCACCCAGACCCAATGAAGAGGGCCCCTGAACGATCGCGTACGCCCAAGCAGGCGAACAGACGGCGCCCCAAAAACGTAGGACCCTGAGGAGGTGGCACGGAATCGAAAAGGACCTAGGCCAGTGTAGAGGGCCCATGAGCATATAGCGAGGGTGGCTTTAGGTCAATTGAGACCAACGTGAAGGGCCCCTGAGCAACTGAGAGTACCCGGCTGATGCACATATGGGGCCCCTGGCAATCACGCAGAGCTTTTCGGACGAATGGGAAGGATCCATGGAAGGCCTCTGATCGACAAGACTAGCCCTGCACGTTAGCAGAGGGCCCCGACAGCTGCGCAGAGCCCTCCGAGCAAATGCAAAGAAATCTATGACAACATGGAAGGCTCGTTACGATTGCACTGACCCAGCAAATGCACATATGCTGTGCCTCCGGGAACAGCGTAGAGCCTCCGGACACCGCGAAAAGGCTCACCCCCCCCCCCCCCCCCCAATCGCAACCCTCTGACTGAGGGAAGAATTGCTGGTGTCTGCTCGCGAACCCTTCACTTTCGTTTGCGACTGTTCTTGGTCGCCTGAAATCTCAGAGACGCCCAAGGTTGTTGCGCTTCGTGTTAAAAAAGTATGTTCGGCCGCCTTTGGGCTCCATCGGCCCACGGCCATCTTTGGGCCCAAGGGGACATGACCCCGTGCCCCATCCCCCTCTGGATACGCCACTGCATTGCACTGATGATCAATATAAAAACAACTGCAAGCAGTAAGCCCCTCCCTCGTATGGATATTGTACAAAAAATTCGTGCTTGCACAGGAAAAGCTCTGCTCTTCCACCAGCCCTACGCCCGCCGTGCGGGACGCGATCATTCTCGGAGGTGCCAAATAAAAGAAGAGAAGTACATGGTTTCGATGCTAAGCAATCAGATCACCCGCTGGCATAACGGTATGACGTCCTTAGTATGTATTTCTTCAAATAAAGTTTGCCTCCAAATATTTTCTTTGTTGTAAGTGGAGAGTGATATTTTGAATATTGAGAAACCATCATTTTTATTTTAATCATAAAAGTTACCGAGTCTAGTTTAGTTATCGAGGTCCCTTCTTTCGGTACCTATTGCTGTGCCTCTCACGGGGTCAGTAGTAATAACAGCGATGTTCGTGGACATATCTACACAAAATGATTTGGGGAGAGCGGCTAAGCAGTGAAACACGACGCATGATAACCATAAAACTTGCCAGCAAACGGGTTTCTCCTCGGGTTTGATTAATGATGCATATGACGTCATAAGAAGGCATTGTCTCACGAGGAAGCACTACCCCACTTATAACATTTTCAGCACCAGATCCTTCTGCGCAAGGTCCTTCTGCGGTGCGAGCGACGTCGGGCTACGCGGACAGTGACGGCTTTTTAGAAAGGTGGGGGCGAGGGGACATTTTTCAACGATTTTAGCACAACTTGTGGTCAATGATCGATGGCTGTATTTATTTATGTCTGTCGGTGTCTCTGGTGTGCGTTGGATTCCGTCCGAACCAATATTTCGAATGCGCCGTTTTCGTCACACTGTGGGGACCAACGGAAAAATCCGTGCATTGCATTCAATCCCTAATCGGCTGAGTTCACCCTCCTTAAAGGAGATGATATGCTGAACATGTTGGGTGTGGCAGTAACAATTCATGCAAAGCACAGATCTGATGGTGTATAATTTTTTGCATAATGGCACTATATAGAGAACCAATGCATTCAGGAGTTGTAGCATTGCTATGCAATATTTCAACAAAAATCCCCACAAACCATCATTTTAAACAAATACAGCTTTGCAATTCCATCATAATATGACCATACCTGATCAGAGCAGACATGCCTCACATTAAGCACACAGATGCCATGTAAGCCTCTGATGCAGGGATGGATTTTTGGAAGACTTGCTCAAGCAAAGTGGAAGAAAGGTATCTCAGAGATGTTTTGCAAAACAGAAATGGAAAATCAACATTTTGATTTCCAATAATGTCCTCTGCATGTAACTAGGTAACCATACACCAAAGTCAAGACCTCAGCTATCTTCTTTGCATCCACTGAAATTTGATCACAATTTCTTATGCTATGATTCAGTATGGCAGTTGTCCTAAACTGTGTGTAAGTAATTACAAGTTGATTGAGACAGTGTAGAAGATTCAGCTTTAAGGTATTGGGGCTATTATAAAAGTCATTGGGTGTCATCTTTCATGATAGTAGAACACATTCAATCCAGAAATGCCTTTAGGGCACAGGCAAATTTTGAAGGGCTAAGGATGGGGTGCCATATGATTAATGTGGTTAATGTGCCTCAAAGCCCAATCATCATCATAAATGACTAAGGGTGTATTTAATTAGTGTGAGACTGAAGCAAATATAAAAGGGCTTGCACTAGTGGTCCTCAGTGTGGGTATTCCACACCAGTGTGTAGTGCTATCAGTGTAGCCCAAACTACCCCTCAGTGCATATTGTCTGTCTAGTTACCTGATTGTTGTTGGTTAAATTTCATGCTCATAGTTTCATTGTAAAACAATGCTGTTATCATATATATTGCAAGAATATGGTAAAATACAACCTAAGATGCTGTATTACTGGCTTATATCACACATTTCAATCACATTTTATACAGCAGTCATTGTTTTTGACCTTGGAGTTTGTGAAACTCTTTTGCTGCTGTTAGCTCAGAAAGATCAAGTAATCCCAAAAGATTATGTGGGGGCCATATAACCTATACAGTCATATAAAATACTTGTAAACCAGCTCTTGTCAAACAGCTTAAGTATGCAAAGTCCAGCAATCCTATGCATACCTCATAGATCCTGGGCTGTCAGAACCAGTAAATTGCATCCTGATGTGCAGCCACTTGTGCATTTTTTGTTGTATTTATGTGGACAAAATGCTGCTTTAAGAATACCATTGGTCTGTATTTTCTTTAAATGGTACATGCAGATAAGGAGTTTTTTGTCAATATGAAATTAATCAGGCATGTTCTTGTTTGAGCAGGCATATTGTTGACTTGGGAGCTGAGGAGGCGAAAAATGACTAACCACCATTTGAGATCATGGGAAAATATGCTCCTCCCCAGATTTCAACCCCTTTCCCCTTAAAGTTGGTTGTGAGGGGATGGGAAGGAGCTTTCTCTGATTGAATAGGAAACTACAGCTCTGAATTTGGGCTTGATAAAGTACCTAATGCATTACATGCATCATTTCTTCCTTTTTTGAATTTTGAAAACAATATTTATAAATTGATATCCCTGCCAGTGATAGTTGTTGTTTGTCAGGTGAAAGATGCCCATAGACCATCAAGAGAACAAGTTTTCTCCTCAGAAACCAAAATTCTGTCGTACCAATATTATGTGTTGAGTACTTTTACTGCTCCACCAGCTCAATAATGCACACATTAGTCCTGCCACAGGGCATGAAGGGAATAACAAGTCCCCACATACAGGGGAGGCTTCTTTCTTGGGAAGTGGCCCTCAAAATGTTTTATGAAAACCTTGCACTAGATGCACAGTGGTGCATAGCATTTGAATTCAAGTGCACATCCCTGCTGGCATCTGTTTGCCCTGGAAATTTCTGGGAGACAAATGTGGCATAAGACTTGTGATGTGTCAACATGAAAATACATTTAGAAGTCCTTTTCATGCCCCCTTACCATTCCCTATTCATTAATGTTTTTACATCTCAGTATGTGTAGCAATGAGCTGCCATGTTATTGCGCACTTCATGACAGTCAAGGGGTCTCACACAGGCATCTGTAGTCAAAAGGCCTCCAGATTGTTCATGTGGACTGGGGATTATGCTCTAGGTTTCACCTCCCATGTGGCCTTGCAGCATTGGATTTGTCCAGAGGGCTTTTTTGAAATATTTTACTGGGATCTTTTTGAATGAATTGATTTCTGAGATCAGAGCTCACACTAAGCAGTGCTTGTTGTATGAGCCCTGGCTCTTATCATCTGATCGCACAATTCCAGTTCAATGGCAGAATTTGGCAGCGAAAGGTTAACATGCTGCAATGCCTGGCATGGTCCGTCCTGCCCTCTGGCGTCACGTGACCTTAAGTGCGGCCGCTGCCACCGGCCGCCGGCCATGCCTGCTAAGGGCAAAGAAGCGAGTGCGTAAAGCGACTCGAACCCCCCCCCCCCTCCTCCCCCTCCCTCTTCCCCTCTCCCCCGCCACGGGTGGGTGGATCGGAAGGCAGACGCTCTAACCAACTGAGCCAACAGGAGGGACAAGACTGTCTGCATGGATGCAGAAGTTGAAGACGAACATGACGTAAAAATGACATCAAATCGGAACAAAATCTGACGAGAAAGAAAAACGACTTTTGGTTGTTTCTTACACTCCCTCATCCATCTAAACGTAGTTCCTGAGCCTGTAATTCGCAATTTCTGCGGGCTATAAATGTAATGAAAATCGTCGTTCTCAGCAGAGACTCTTTTCAGTCAGTTGGAGCTCTTAGAAGCAGTGCATTCACGACGGATTCCAATGTATATTAATCCTTCGCCCGCGACATGTCTGGCGCATCCAGCGTCGCCGTGCTAACGCGGCTGTCCCTGCCGTTCCAGACCAGCCATGGCAGAGGTTCAGCAGCTGTCAACAGCCCCCTTCGACCCGCGCTTTCCTAACCAGAACCAGACCAGGTAAGTGTTGCTTATCAGTTAAGGATGCCAATCATAATCGTGAGGCGGAAAGGAGGGGAGGAATGCAAGCTGTACAGCCAGGCTCCCCCACCGGAGCGAGAGAGTCCCGAGTGTCTAGCAGAACTGCGGTTGATGCGCATCTTATTATCTACGCATGAACATCAAAAACGGAACCTTAACTTCTGTGAACAAATGGTTCGCGTCGGCAATGGGCCTGAGTGAACATGAGTTTCTTCGCAGGCAAATATAAAAAATAATCATTTGCGAGCGAGGCGTAGTGTCGTCCAAGCATGTTGAGCGTAACATTTCAGCATTGCTACTCGTTACGTGTTTGATGTTTCGAAATTGTGAAAGCAAGTCTGCATTGGGCTGACCTGACTGTCACCCTAGACCTGTAAATCCGTGCTCGAACGCCAACATTTTGCGACTGCGAGGTACCTGTAGCCGGGCGCGCGTTATGAGTAAAGGTCATGCGGGTCAAAATATTCTGCCATTTACTTTCAAGAGGTCACTTAGAAGGTCACCTGGAGTCACGGTCGTGCACAGACACATGTCACGGCCCTGCACGGCTATGTCGCTGCCGTACACGCATGTCACGGCCCTGCACAGACACATGTCACGGCCCTGCACGGCTATGTCGCTGCCGTACACGCATGTCACGGCCGTGCACACGCCTGCCACGGCCTTGCACACGCCTGTCACGGCCGTGCACGGACACGTGTCACGGCCGTGTACACGCATGTCACGGCCGCGCACGGGACACGTGTCACTGCCGTGCACACGCCAGTCACGGCCGTGCACACACACATGCCAGCCTTGATGTCGTATTGAAGAGGGATGTGATCGGCGTTCAGGAATCGTCAGGAAGCTAGCGAAGCCTGCGTTGAAAGAAGACACGATTGTTTAATCGGAGGCATCGTACCTCGTTTTATTGTTATCGTGCGTCTTTTTTTGTTTTACACCGAGGCATTGGCAAACGATTATGAAGCGAGCTAAGTGGTTTCATATGGCAGTATTTGTATACACATGTGAAGGGATTGAAAACGTCGTGCGAGGTCAGATCTGGCGGCAAGTGCTGCGTGTGCTCTTATACTCATGCTGAGTACGGGAATGCTCAGTACGGGAAGAAATATCCTGTGCTATCCATGTCACTTGCCTTTTGGTGAATTAACGCATATCACACATATCATGCTTGTAAATGTTCATGACCCTCTGGTCCTATTTGAAAAGCTACGCCGAGTGTAGGAGCGATGCAGAGGTAATTCACCCTTTCTGTCATATAAGAATATCGGAAATGAAATATGCCGGCCTTTGTGCTGAAATTTTGACAACCACGAGCCGAATCTTGACGAATTTGGTTCAACAGTGACCACTGGATTCTGCTTATATGAATGCAACTATGGAGTATTATAATCTCTTGACGGTTCGCCGTGTTGTGGCGTACCAATCAATACATGTGTGCAACGAATGGTCGATGTATCGTGCCATGGAGTGCCAGTGAATGCGTGCCTGCAGCGGTGACCAGCACATCGTGCCGTAACGTGCCAATTAATGCATGTCTGCAACAGGCGGGCCGAAAAGTTTGGTGCCATGTCCACGCCCTTGTGACCTGACTACGTAAAAATTCGTGTCTTTCAGCGCTGGCATCTCAGGAACTGCAGTTACCGATTATGGAGAATGTTTGGAACACAGTGGTTTTGCTTTCTCAGTGTTGTCTTTGTTCAGAGTTTGTCCCTTTATGTCCCAATGTCTTTTCTCCGACTTTGTTAAAGATGCTGGTTCGATATACTCTTGTGCGCCTGGACGGGTAGTGTGATGTTTTGAAGCCTCCCGAGCCATGGCATTTGTGCTGACCCGGACGAATTTATTCATATTTTCAGGCACTGCTATTCGTCGTTCGTAGACTATCATCGCTGCATCAAGAAGAAGGGCGAGGACTACGCGCCGTGCGAATACTTTAAGAAGACGTACAAGTCCCTCTGCCCCAACTCGTGGGTGGAGAAATGGAACGATCAGTTGGAAAACGGCACGTTCCCCGGGAAAATCTAGCTGGTGGAACCGCCGGAGCCGGTGGGAGTGAATGATCCCTGTCATGTCGCGCCGTCGCTGTCGCCGTCGCCGGACCTGTACGGGGCCGCCATCGCGCAGAATAAAGGGGTTCGCGAAGACGCTCCGTGATGTAGGCAGATGAAAAGTGGTAAACATGTGCGCGTGGTGTACACCAAATAAATTATGTAAACATTCGGCGTTTGTGTGCTGGACAAAAAAACGTGACACTACATGCTAAATTCTGTCATAACCTCCGTCAGACGTGGGTGGCATGAGAGCTCCTTGGAGGTTTTCGTAATAAGCTTTGAGCTACTACAAACATGATTCCACTAGTTGTAATAGCAAAATATTCAGGTGAAGGTGCCGTGAGAATTTCGTTGTCAATGCATTGTCTTTAATATATATCATGAGTGGCGACCTTTGGAAATGCGATTTAGACGCATGCGATCACATGTGGCATGTATCGCGTGGGATTAACGGGCACAAAATCGCCGCTGCAGTCGAAGTGCCCCGAAACACAACCATACAGTACCTATGGGAAGACGTGGGCGCAAAATGGCCCTGATGCCGACGCGCCCTTGAAAACTAAATCACCATCTACCTATGGGAAAACGCCACGACCACATCGCGTTCGCTGGTGCCCGATAGCATAGTTTGTCACGGAGAAGGCGCCATAAAGCACTGCCATGCGCTGTTGACTCGATTATATTGTACAGTGTGGGATGTTCCTAAAATGGTCGACAGGTCGGGAGACCGCTGTTTCAGTAGAGGTCATTCCACAACATCGACCGAAGAATGGCATGGCACCCTCTCAAATATGAGAAGGGCGTGTCTTTTAGTTCATTTATGGCTAGAACACGATTCTGCAAGTTTTAGAGCCAAACAGCGTACCGGTAAGGTACCAGGAGCGGGCGCGAGATTACGTCACCAACTGCAATTTCCAACTTGCTCCAGTAAAAGCGGTCTGTGGGGGGCAAAGCTTGCTAACAGTGCATCGGGGAGCGGAATAGCCAGATTTTTAAAATCATTCAAGGCTAAGAAATTTCATGAAGTGGCCCAGTGGGACTTTCGGCCTAATTTTCTTAAAAAATGGTCTATTTGTATAGCCTTTTTAACTGATTTGCGATTAAGATAATTTTCATACATAATACAGTAGTTTTATTCCTTGGAAAAACTTGGAGAATGGGGATATAGTTGGGTTGATATTTCGGCGACGTGCCTTTATCGGAAAAATAGCAGAAGTGGATTCAAAATTGCCTGCTGATAATCCTACTCGATGTTTCAGGTTTTTTATACAGCGGGCCTGTGTGTGTGATGCGAGCTAGCTTAAAATCGCTTACATGTGCGAGTGATGCATGACGCATATTGTGCGATGCCTGTTCAACTGAAATCGTTTGCATGTATAATTGATGCGCGATGTGTGAAGCCTGTTCAATTCAACTCGCTTGCATGTTTTGAATGAAGCGTGATGAGTAATGCCTATTTGCTCGAATCCGTTTGCATGCACACGGATTTCCACACATTCTAATTCTTAGATAGGCGATGTATCTTGGTGATGGCTGGCAATCGCTCTTTGTTTAATCCCCAAAATGTTGGTGTCCTGTAAAAACTGTGGCTTGCTGTTCCAAAAAAAGGAAAAATCTAGAAGGATAATCGGCAGGCAATCGTGAACTCACTTCCGCTATTGTTTAGATAAAGGCATGTCGTCGAAATATCAACCTAACGATATCTGCACTTTCCTGGTTTTTCCAAAGAATAACGCGAATACTACTGTTATCTATGTAAGTAACGTCCCTCGCTAATGCACTGAACAACTTATGTAGTCAAGATAATTTTCTTATACTGGTGCGCAATTGAAGTCAAGTTGATCGCCACTCAGACCAAAAAAAATTATTGATGGGATCAGATCCTAGAATATTAAATTAGTAATCGAATTTGAGTATTGGCGGATCACACACGGCGGTACGCCATGCGCCGACGGGCCGGTACCGGGTGACCGGGCGCGATCGACTCGGGTCAGGATCTGATGAGCTGAAGTTTGTAGCGACAAACGTACTGTAGCGCCTAATGTATAAAAACCGCTAATGCGTCATAGCGCCGAATGTATCAGAACACCTAATGCTTCATAACTCCTAAGGTATCATAATACCTAATGATTACAACACCCAATGTATCATAACTCCTAATGCTTCAGATGCCGTGACCGGCGTCTTCTCCGCGCGTGATGAAGCTGCACGGTCTCCCATCGACGACGCTCTCCGATCGTAAAAAACCAGAGATCACCATAGGTGGCAGCACACTACAGTCACACAGACGGCGGAAACAGCGCCTGGTTGTGCCCTCAAACGGCAGGCGCCCTCAAACATGGCGCCACTTCTGTTGACGGTAAAAGCTCTCCCAAATGTTGAAAAATGTTTGCTAGAACTGCAGGTCACAAGCAAATTGGAGAGAGCGCGGTCAGATCCGGCCCCTCTCCAGGCAGCCGTGGTTTTATCATGACCGTAAACATGTAATGACCGTATACATGTATACATAATGTATACATGTATACATGTATTAATACATGACCGTGTAAAGAACGGCCGAGGACAGAGGTATTGCTGTTGCCAACGTAGGGGCCGCTAAACGAATTTTCTGATGCGTGAGGTGGTATTGGGTACTACGAGACCTACAAGATGCCATCAAAGGTACCACTAGACTTACGTGATCAATGACCTTTCACGACCGTAAAATGAACAAATTTTCGCCGACTATTAACTTCAGAAATCGTTACCCAGTCGTTGGTTTTAAATGTGATTTATGATTCAAAGAAAGCAGTTTTACCACCGCTGATGAGAATGAAGCCAGAAAATTTATCCATCTCGTCGGAAAGAGAGGCTGCCTGGACACGATGTCTACAGTGCGGGGAGCGGTCAGGGCCTTGATAAAGTAGGAGGGGAGGGAGCATAGGGTTGACAGAGCCCCCCTGATGTAAAAAATCTGCTTTAACAGGAGCGATATTAACTGTCATGCCTTAATGGGCTTTTTCAAAACCGAAATAACTCAGAGGCTCTGACGATTTTTCTGTCTTTTTCAGGGGCATTGAGGGCCTGTGAAAGTAGACTGCAGATCAAAATGGTGGGAAAGGCTTACATTGTTATGTCCAGTCCATGTTCGTCTTGGATTATTTCACCTTCAGTCAGAAACGGTTAGTAAGAAAAAACATAAAACAAAGTTTTCAACACGTTCCCTCGCAAGCCCTACAACAAAGATCCTGACGCCCAGCGTTGCAGTCTCCCCAGGCCGCTGGCATAGGCCCTGTAGCTTACATTAAGCGGGTGCTTACGGGTGAACAAAAATGACGACGCGGTTGAATTAAGTGCCTTTGAACGCTATGAGATATCAATTCGTACGTTAAGACGATTCTTGAGCATATTTCATCGGTTTGACTGTTGTATTGATGATAGGAACGGATTGGCACTTACCGTAAAACAAACTGGTGGTGGAATTTGGTGATGGAATTGGAAGAGAATGTGTGATCCCTCGTTCCCGTATTGCTGTAACCCTGTTCACAGGACAGCCTCAATATCACAAATGCGACAAAACGCCCCAGTCTAATCTTTGAACGGTACGAATTGATTTTTTTGAAGACTTTTGGAAGCATCATTTCCCGATGGTCGTTCTCGTGCGCCTGGCACCCGCCGCCTGGTGTTATCTGCAGTGGCCAACGCCCTTCGGTTTTATGGAGACTGCAACTCCGGCCACAGATGTCCTTGCTGTAAGGTTGCAAGCACGCAGACTTAAGTATTTTATGTGTTTTGTCTTGCTATCCGATTCTGCAGAAGGGTAGGCGCTCTCAGACAAACATGGCTGACCTTGTTTATTTTTGACGATTTGGATCCGCTCTATTGATCACTAACCAAACTCCTTACTTTATTCCGGGCAAGGGTGCCGTGGGTAAAACATTAGGATACATATTATCGTTCCCGACCAAGGGCTGAAGGGCCAGCCCGTCCCAGCACGGGATGCCTACCGGCAGCTATTGTGGCGACACGACGACAGAGTCCCCTAGTAAATCCGGAGAATCCTGGAAATATACATCACGTGTTGATCCTCTCACTGGCGCGGGAAGCTCTCTGATCAGGCAATTGATCCAAGATCAACGCAAGACTTCCCAACGACGCAGCAAGGTCTATATGATCTCCGCAGGTGGCGCAATAATGGTCACAGATATTTTAGTTCGGCTTAACGGACCCTCGGGTGCGATGGAATGGAGGGGCCCCTGTCCCCTTTCGGTGCTGGGACCTTGGCTGACAAAGGGACCTTAGATTGTCCCAATGAGGACTCTCATCTCAAGTTAATGATCATATGATCATTAACTTGACATAATATAATGACATAACATAATGATGATGATCACAAATCTCATGATCATAAGTAATCATACCTCCTTTCACTATCAGAGGGTTCTTGCCAACGCAAGAGCCCTTTGTCATTCGAGGTCCAGTCCCTGTCCCTTTCCTACAAACATTTCCCTGCCCAATTCTGGACCTTAAGCTGACGTAAGGCCCCCGTTAGGCAGCGCGTGTCTCTGGTAGTCACAGGGTCCATCATTGCTGCAGGGGCTCCGACCAAAACAAATGGGGGTCTGGCCTCGTCCCTGGTTGGGAAATGCTCCCCAGGCTCAGATCGACACGGAGCTGGCTGCTCGGTGTTGGTGGTCTCTGGCCAAAAATGAGGCCCGCATTGTGACAGAGGTTCTCAATCGGTACGAGAGATCCCCCGACAGGTATCTGTGAACACGGCCCTACAGGCCGGCAACCCAAGTGTTACTTACAGCCAGCCCTTCGGCCCCTTTTCGGGTCTCCACGACCACTTACCCTAGCCGACTCGGGACTCCTTTCAAAAAAAGGACCCCCGTTAGGCGCTGTGAGCCTCTTACCGATACAGTGGCCCCTCATTGATTTGGGGTAAATCGTGGCCCATCAGACGCGCAAAAGCATGAGAGGCTTAACTGAAAAGTTCCGGAGCACGGGAATGACATAAATCCTGATCATCACTAACCCTGTCCCCTTCCCTCACAACGAGAAATATACGTGTCGCCGTCCATGGCCACCATAGTAGAGCGCCTTTGGCGCCCTGAGGCCGCCTGTTGACGGGCCCGCGGGGCGCCTCTACATTCCGATCAGAAGCGGTACCCGCCGTCTGTGTCTCCC